TATGAGTTCTTCATGTTATGTCTTGTTCCATGTCTAAGCTGTGTTTGTTCTAAATGTTTGTTAGCATGTCCATCTGTTGCATGGGTTTTAATGGCTGTCTACACTGCAAAAAGAATTATCTAGGTAATTTAAAAATGACGTAAAATAAGAATAATTTACTTCATTTGAGTAATTCAGCTTGACAAGTAATATGATCTTCCAATGGAATAAGTGTATTTTACTTAATTCAAGCAACATTAGATATTGTATCATATTTTAAGTGCAAAGAGTTGCTGTTTTTCTCATCTTGTTCCATAGGTGGATAATTTTACTTATCATGTGAAATTCACTTTCTTAATTCAAGCAATTTTAACTTGACTAGATTTTAGTTATTGCAATGTATATAAATAGTTGTAAATAGTTTTGTATGTACAGTTTACCTGTGTTTTTCTAGAGTGACCATCTGTTCAGGGACTATGTGCCTTGTGGTCAAATCTGGTGCATTTACAGAACTGTTCATTTATGTACACTGCTGCTGTCAAACAAACATAAATTGATAATCTATATTTACAATTCACAGAAGATTGTGTGTATTCACAGATGGAATTAATCCTAGCTACTTTTTCCCCTTTTTTATTCTATTCTTATCAAATCATATCTGAATGTTTGACAACTGATTGTTCACATGTGTGCAGATGTGTGTACTGTCAGTGGGGGTTTATTTGTGTAGGATTTTAAGCAATTAGGGCAGTACACAGAGGCACCATTACTTTGTTCTCCCAGTGGAATAAAGGTATGCACAGTCAACACTGAGACACCCCAATCAATTCCCACACAGCAGAGCCTCAGCTGCAGAATGACAAAAGTACACGCACACACACACACCTTTTGACTGATTTCACAAACACCTTTTCATTCATTCTTCAGCGTCACAGCATCCTCATCTTGTCAGTCACTTTTGAGTCTAGTGTCACAAGATGAAGACCAGAAGATGCAATAGACATCCAGTGCTTTGTTTATGTGGTCAAAGACACGCAGGACTCTTCCCTCTGAACTGTGTCTGTGGCCAAGCAGAGTTCAAGGGAAGTGAATGAACTCACACTGTTATACAACATGGTAAATGGTGCATGGTTCAAAAGATGTACTTAAGATAGCCATAACATCATCAATACTTCAATAAAACAGCTCTATGTTTTCCTTTACCACTGTGCTGGGACAAAACAAGCAAGTATTTAAATAGTGGTTACTGACAGATCATTACAACAGACCACAAATTGGAATACAATTTTAATATTGATTATTTGCTGTGTAGTTCTGTATTCTACCATTACATTGTGAACTCAAAGGTTTACAATTAGCCTCTTCTCAAATGGTCTATCAACTTGCTTAATACTTCCTCTTCTGAATAGTGTACATATTTATACACTATTGAATGTCTGATACATTTGATGCACGTACAAAATTAATTTAGCATACTAAAATAGTCCTTCCCTTAAGGTCAAGGAAGAAAAATGTGTTGATGTGAGAGCATTTGCATAAAGTCACTGTATGTGTGATGAAGAGGTAAAAGGTTCAATGGTGTTTTTTGTTGACTGCTGAAGTCAAGATCAGTAAATCAATATGCACATGTCAAGGCCACAGATACTGAGTAATCAAGAGGAAACCAAACAGGCCAAGCTGGGGTTGGAAGAGATGAAAAACAAAAGATGGAAATAAAACTACTAGTATCAGGCATGAAACACGGTACTCTAAACTCAAAAGAAAAAAATTTATAAATAAAAGTTCTTCTCCTTTGCTTTAACAGAAGATGTTAACAGAAAAAAATGTGCTTAACTCAACTGTACACATAAGATTCTGTTTAAAAGCACGTTGTTTTAAGGGCAACTAAAACTACTGCTTATACAAGTAAGAGTAGATTTCCAAAGCCATTTCCTGAAAAATGACACCAATATGTAGAGCATTTTTATAGTCTGAAGTCACTAAAACATCTGACTTCGTAATGGACACTAAGGGCAGTCCTGCATTTACACAAAAGCCCTGGTTACAGCCTTGTTCCCACACCCAACGTCTGCAGCAGATTGAGTCATGGGATTTTGTTTACATGGTAAACACCTCACGCTTGTGATGTGCACAGCTGCCCAGTGGGACAGTGTATGGGTGACTGACACTGGCATTAAAGACTAGTTCATTACCATTTTGCTTTTGCCCTCTCTGACTTCCAGTTCCCCTGAGGAATGTCAGTCATGTTGAGCGAATCCAGATGTGTGTAAACCCCCACCCGCAGCCTCCATGGCTCCTCAGAGCCCTGATAAGGATGATCAAGAGGACTTTCTGTGGCTTGTAAAATAGAAGTCTGTAACAATAATACAGGACATATCATTTATACCAAGGGGACGCCACAGTGGAGTATTTTGTCAGGTTCAAGATCAAATAAATGCAGATACAGAAGAAAGAAACATTTGCCAAACTAATACAATTCACTTCACACTTGGAGGTTGAGGAGTTTACTCTTGGAACAAAAGAAAATTAGAAATTATTAAAATTACCGTTTTAAAACATTCTCTTAAAAAGTACAACACAGCCATAGTAATGAAAAGAATCAAGCCTAATTTTCAAGGGTAAATACATCCAACCACATAGCAATGTTGTATCTCGTCTAATCGAGCAGAAAGCAATGAAAACCCAATATTTCAATGGCACAATCCTACTTTGGTCGGACACACAGTACAAGCCTGAGCTTCACAGGGGAAAAATTCTCAACTTCTCTGTTCCTCTTGCAACAGAAAATGAAATGCCAAGCCTGGCTAAGGATATAATGAAAAAGCTATTATCAGCACGAGCTTTCATCAGCACTGCATTCAAGCGTCCTCAATACAAACTGATGCTCTCACTTCACGCTGAACCCATCTCAATGCACGCTATAATACAAGGAGTGTGATAAGAGCGGGAGATAACCATTTTCCAGTTGAACTAGTGCAACAGCAAATTTACTGGAGATCTGAAGTTTAGTGATTGACCAACTGCAAATCCACTTGAAAAGATCAATGATACACCAATGATATCCTTACCATTATTTTAATATAGTGCTTTTAATGCAGTTACTATTCAATTTTATTCAACCTTATAGTGTCCACTTCTTGTATTGTTTATAAGACTTTAAGAGATTTGTGCATATAGTCTTGTCAAAGTCTACAGCCCAGGTATTGTCTTCTACCAGGACTCTTCTTTGGCCATATTATAGCAGTTTATAAAATCATTAAATATAGTAATAAAGCCAAAGCTATTTCTGATATAATTAAGATCTTGTCTTGGTCTGTAGATTGGCAAGTATCAGAAATAATGAGTACATGAGAAATACTAAATAAAAGTTCCAATATTACATCTGCAACAGAGCTTGAATCTGCCTTGTTTACATCAGACTTAAAGGCAGAATCCAGAGGAGAAAGGCAGAAACATTACAGAGACAGTAATACTGACATTGCCTGTCGTCTCTGCTCTGGTTTTTAAGTGTGCAAGAGGATTTGTATGACAGAGTTTAGCCTGCCTTCACAGCTGCAGCTTTCCCTCTGAGACACAAACACCACCGGTACAACACAAGCCTGCAAAACAAACTACTGCTTTCCTGTCTGTCCATGGAGAAACATACCCAAAAGGACAGCGGTGGGTGAAAGGATGTTGCAATGAATGTAACTCATCAATGAGTAAAAGAACATTGTATTTTAAAACCACGTGTATAGTTTAAGAGAGATAAACACCACATATCTCTGCTATAACACACCTGTATTATAGCCAATAATAAAACACTGCTTGGCTATAAGAGCTACCTATATTCGGTAATTACTGCATGTTCAGCAATGTTGTGCCCAACGTAAGAGGTCATAAGAGGTCACACTAAATGACCAGGTATTCCATGTAAGGTTTTCTTTTCTTCCCTCGTGACACTAGGATACTCCAAAATGACTTTGTGGTGGCCAGTCTTTATGTGAACATTACATCTTATGCTTCCCAAACAACAGTTTCATTTAATCTACTGAAGGATTAACCTGGAATAACCTTCACACACATAATGTTGCTGAATATGCTGTAATCGCCAATGGGGGACTCTTCTTTTCCTCTTCCTTTTAGCTAAATCAAAAATGGTGACAGACATAAATTTAACATTCTGTCCTTGAAATCTGTTGCATGAAGAATTTAGGCATTAACAATGCGAACAATTGAAATAGACGATTTGGGTGATGCTTCTCCAAAACAACAACTCGGGATCAACTCAGAATACATCAGGACCAGACGGACAGACAATAAACGTTATCGTAATAACATTTGTGTAGCTATCTTAGGTATAAGAATAAATTATGGACAACTTAATCTAAAGGTTATGAAATGAAAACCAACAGCATGATATACCTTTACCAGGTGCTCCAACTACCTCACACAGGAGACTGAAGCCATGTTTTTGTGTTTTAGCAAACTTAATTACCCAACAACTCCATTATATGTCGACACAGCAGCTCTGGTTTAATAACAGGAGTTTTATGAGACTTTTATATGACATTACACATAGAAAACAAGGCACACAGCCTCACATTAGTGCTGGAATTTACCATTAAATCCACCATGATAACTGCCCCATGAGGTATAATTGTTCATTACGCTGCACAAATCTACCAAAGTCGTTGAGTGGATAAATATTGTTGCCCCTCAAGTGGCCATAATCATAACAGCCCAAAAATAGAACTTGATGTGAAAGTCCTAACCAGTGGTTTGGAGGCACAATTAAAAGAAACTGCAACATGTAGATCTCTGATAAGTTTTTGTGTTGTGGTTTTGTAACTAATTGTGTTGTTACAATAATATGTAATACACTTTTCACAACATTCCAAAATGGAAAAAACTTTAATAATTTCTGCAAATCACTCACCTGAACTACCACTTCTTATTTGCAAGTTCCTGCCCTTATAGTTGCCAGGTGAGAAATACAGTTTAAAACAGATTTTTTATCAAGATTATCAAAACAATCTTACCTGCTCAGGGCCAGATGAACGCCCTTGCACTTTGCTCCTACAAAACAGAAAACAGACAGTTTTAGTATACATTTGAATACAATACAGCCATTGCACATAGAATCTAGAATATATCACACAAAAGAACTTCTACTAGTCCTTATAATGGTGTCAGGTGAAACAGCTCAGTGGAAATGACTTGAGGTAAAATGCAGATTTCATAACCCCTTTCCATGGCAACAGTTTTTGATATGGCCATAGTCCATTAAAACATGCACATTTTTAAACACGATGCCCGGAGGTTCAAACCACTGAGAACAACATTAATCATTGAAGAAAAGACACTGCACCAGTGAGCATGTCAACTTTGAAATGGGCGACACCCACACACTCAGGGCAACAGCAGACGTTCCGAGGGGCTTAAAATATGGGACACACACTAATTACCCTCAATGGAGCCATTTTATGAGTCAGCCTTATCAGACTTTAGTGGCAACTCAGTCTTAACCATTTCCACCTACTCTTATTACTTAACAGCCTCTCCAGTCTGGCACCAGCAGCTGTTTTTAAGTCACATATTATAAGAGTAGGTCCTCAAAGTCTGCTTAATTAATTGAAAAATATACAAGCATTTTACACTATCCATCTTCCCAAGGAAACAATATTGGTATACCAGGAAATGGTGTAGTCCCGGTGTCATCCTGGATTAAGATGTACAATTGTTCAATCCAGGTTTAGGAGCTTTCTGTAGTTCTCAGTTAATTACAACCCAATTGCTTATTTTTGCAGCTCAAATGCCAATGCACCCCAAAAAGGAGGTTCTGTGAGTCCAGGATATGATTGCCTTCTCTAGTTAGTTCATTGGAATTCAATGCATTTGCCATTTCTTCACTCCACTCTGCAGCCCTGTCCACTTTTCTCATTATCTCAGCTCCATAGAGGACATTTCCTTTTGCAAACAAAACCAACTATTTAAAGTAAGAAAGTGGGATTTTTGACTGTGAGTGCTTTAATCAACAGGATATTATGCATTCATCCAGCCATCTGCCAATCGATCCCACATCTACCCAGCAGTAAATAAAACTTTGTGTATCACGGCACAGGATGTCCTTGAGACTTAATCTACTCAAGCCAAGTCTCTTCGTGTTTCCAAGTTTATCTCATTAGCCCCAACATCACTGAAATCAGACTCATTTGTCAGGTAAAAAGGAGAGTCTGTTTTCAATAGAAAAAAAAAAGAGATGCCTGAGAAGAGAGAGCATGAGAATGTTGACAGTTATTCAAGATTTCCCCTAACCATTATGTTGTGGCAGTAGGGCGAGGCAGTTAAAATACATTTACAGCACTGAAAAGGGATGATAAAACTTTTGACAGAAAAAAAACAGTTTATTGTGCAGCTTACTTAACTCTTATAATAAAATATATAACAGAGTAATATGACATGAGTGTGACATCACTACTGTTAGGTGTGCCCAAATAGTCTTTATTCTGGTGTTGGATTCCCCTTAAAAACATGTGTAATCCTTATTACTCCCTTTAGCCCTCAATGGTGTAAATCCAATAAGTTAAGGAGTTACTGAGCATTCTTGGCATCTCCTGTTCTGTAATATTGATTGTATCAGATGACAGTTAAGAGCAAAAGGCCAAAGAGAAGTACTGGAGTGTAAAGAAATGGGAGTAAACTAGACACCAGACAACATTCAAAATACACTCACAAACTCATGATGGAGAACATTACAGGCCCTGCCAAAACAGGAGGAGGGAGATTTAGGTACAAGACACGCAAACTGAAACCTGGGACATTCAGTAAATACACACCTTGTCTTCACAGTCACAGCCAGACGGAAAGCCAGCTCTGTACACCGTGATGTGATTTTCAGGTTGATGTGTTTTTGCTAGAAGAGTATTTCATGATGCTTTATTACACTGCGAGTCTTTTAAATCAAGGGGGAACACACACATACGCGTACAAGTGTACAGAGGGGAGGAGAGGAGGCTTGTAAATCACTTTTTCTGGTTGGGTCTTATCTAAGAAATGCCAGCTATGAGAGCAGGGAGGCAGAGGGAGCCGGAGCGAGCCTGTGCACTTCTAATGGTTTGCATGAATTTGCTACAGAAGGAGGAGAAGACAGGTTGTTGAGGTAACACTGCAGTTCATGATGAAATGCAATGAAACAAGGTCTGCAACTATTGTTTGGGAATTACATAGTTCTAAATTAATGGGATCACAGGTAAAATGGGAACTAAAATGTTGTATGGCCTGCTACAGCCTTTTCCATAGAGGCCACAAAACACAACTACAATATCACTATGAACCCATGGCTCATGGTTAGACCCAAAGGTCTATGTTTCAAACCCCATTCAGACCATTGCATACTATTGTGATAAGATACTTGCATGTCCCCATCAAGAAAAAAAAGGTGAGTAGTTTAATATTGTCACTTAAATGTTGTCTCTGGAAGACTTTGGCTGCTTTAGATAATGTTATGAAACCAACGAATTAATAGAACTTCTTGTCAAACTTTATCCGCAAATACAATGCTCTGGGAGAAAATGACTTGCTATTCACAAAAAACAACAGCAATCTCACATTTCTTATCTACTATTTTTTAAGTATTAGTACTTCACAGTATAAATTCATGTTTTCTATAATAAGAGAGCAGTCTGCTTTGTTAAAATCTTTGTATGATTTATTGACAGGGAGCTGGTCAGTTATGTAATGATGTTTTCTCATGAGTCCCTTCCACCTCTTCTAAGTTTGTGTGTTTTGTTTTGCTCACAGCTGCTTCAATTCCATGGTTAATCTACTATGGCATTATGGAGGCTTCACACACACGTCCGCGCCTGCACTGGAAGCCTCACAGACAAGGGATTTCCTTTCACATCCAACTGAGACCAAAAGAAACTTGTTGAGAAGAGTGTGAAAACATAAGCTGCAAACACACGCAAACATCTGTGAAAATACACAAGTATAGAATAGAAAAGATCAATAGCCCAAATAATGTAAACACAATTAAACATGCAGCTTATGAGCCCCCCAAAGAACAGTACAACAATGGCTGTGGTTCTCTACTACAGCTCCACTGCAGGACTGGACAAACAGCAATGTGATGGCTTAATTACAATGTGGAGTCTGAAGTGCATCCGATGAACATTCACAGGTTTTTATGGTCGCTTTTGAGAAGGAGAGTTGTTCAACCTGCCTCTGAAACCAGAAACAAATGTGCCACATATCTGACTTTCAAAATACACTATGCACAATTCTGTTGTCACTCCTAACTAGCACATAGGGTTAAATTCAATATACATTTAGACCAAGAAATTCTGAATATCCGCATGGGCAATACATTTTCTATAAATTGTATTTTGTCAAGACACATTGGCTTATTGTTTAATGTGTTCCCCTTAGGACTGAGGCGTGTGCATGTTCACACAGAGATACACGAGCTCAATTCAGAGTCAAGCACTTTACAAAGGAAGTATTGATTTTTTTCCACAGTGCCAAGATGTTACATGTTTTCAGTCAAAATATGTCTCCCACAAGACAATATTTTACACTTCAAACATGACATTAGGCTTTCTGGAATAAAATAACCCTACAGCAAACATATTCAACAAGTGAACCTGAGAACAGTCATTTATCTATTGGAAAATCTCACAAAGCTAACATGCTACCAACTGCACTTGCTAGCCAGTGGCAAACAAATCTGAAATTACACCCTCTTCCCTCCGTTTGAGGAGCAATGCAACCTTCCCTTACTAGCACATAGTGCACACAGGCAAACCCACTTGTTGCATAAATAGAGGGTTCATAAAATCATGATGGCCGACCACACTGGTACATTTCATCATACAGCATATTGAAAGCTTTTCAGATTCCACAGTTTCTGCCGCTACGCATCATCAAGTCTACTGAGAGCACGAAATCCCATAATCCTCGGACAGAAAAGGCAATAACAGAGTCAGTGCCCCAGCAGAGAACCAGAATGATTCAGCAAGAAGTCCAACTTGCCCCGTTTTGGTTCCTGAGCCACAAATAAATCCAATACAATGGTGCTATTCCATTTCCATTTATTTTACAACGTTTTAGTGAGATGTGGTTTAAAAAGTGATATTATAATAATAATGTGTAGTTGATTTAGTTAGTTGATGTAGTTGATGAACAAATAAACAATATTCCTTGATTATCAGTAAACAAAAATAGTTCATGTTGCGGTCACCAGTCGTAAGGCAAACATGTTTTTCATTAAGTACTACGATGTAACGCCATAACCACAAAGTATTACTCTGGGGGCCAGAGGGCTTTCCGTGGTTCCCAGGCTCCAGTAAGAGGTTGGACAACCAGGCAGCTCAAAACCAGGGATAAAGAGTTATTATACAATACACTCAACCAAAACAACAGGTCAAATATAGAAAGACAAACACATGCAACACATGGCATAAGTGACAGCATTGGTCCTGAAGTTCTTGGTTTTTTACTTTAGTTCTTTACTTATAATGCTGTGGTAGTACTGAAACAGCATATACAGAGTGAAACCAGAGAACCAGTCTTCTTAATTCTAACCAGCGAGTTAACAATGATATGTTTAGAGTGTGTTAACAAGGGAACTTTTTTCGAGCTTTACCTACAACACAAAGACCCAACATTTAAAAGGTTGTCAGGGGTGAATGAGGGTCCTGTTAGGGTCACAACTGCAGGATGGTTCAGTTGGGTTACTGAACGAAGGTCAAAGGTCATTTGAGAGTGGAGGAAGGAAGAAATAACTCCTGTAGCCATTCAGCTAACAGTCCTCAGCTGGAAAAGCAAAATGATGAAACCAACGGTGCTGTAAGGAATATGTGTATACAAGGCATGCTCAATTTAAAACACTGACTTTTTATAGATTCTAAAACTAAAGTAAAACAAATTCTCTTTTACCAAGGGGCACACAGACCTGCATTCAGAATTGAACCTTCCAGCAATTAAACTCTTGGATCTTATCGGTGATCTCGATTCACATCACAGTTTAAGACTCAGTCCAGTACTTTTACTGACAGAATCTTCAACTAAATTGATTT